TGTACCTCCTCAAGCGAGCTTTCTCTACCTTCGATGAGGACTGTTTTGCTAAATTCTTTCGGACACTCGTACGGTCACAGTTATAGGTCGGTATCCGTGCGTGGAAATCCAGGACTTCTAAAGACATCAGCATCCTTGAGGAAGTTTAAAGGCGGACAACCAAAGTCGTTAGTGGACAGGGCTCACTACCCTACGAAACACGGTTATTTAATCCTGTGAGTTACAGACAGGTAATTGGCGACCTGGTACAAGCATTCCGGATTATGCGCGGTCAGGAATGCCGCCATTTTTCCTGCTGACTTCATGGAGTTAGCAAACACGACGAGTTGCCGAGGCCATTTCCTTAAACTACGTGTGACTGGTGCCAGGCTGGACGTGCGAAAGTTCTTCTCTTCTAACAGGGTGGTTGAGGCTTAGAAGGTTCCGCCTGCAGATATCCATATGTCCACATCCATCGAGGCATTTAAGCACAAATTGGACCTGTATGCCACCAAACATCATAATGTCACGCGACCGATATCTTCTTTGGGTATAGTTCTGACAGGTTATTATTGCCTGTATTTCAGTAACGTTTGTTTTTTATTTTACTACTAGCTGGACCCCGCCACGCGTTGCTGTGGCTCAGGTGAATTCAAAATCTCTGTTGGGTAACTAACCTGCCTCGTCTGCTTCCGCAACAGTGTAGACAGACGTATATGTGACTGCCTCGCTTTGAATCTTAGACTGAATAATATGGTTAAGATGGTACCCGTGTTTGTCTTTGGCCGCAAGAATAGCTCGTTCGCTCAGTCAGTCGTGATTGTTGAAAGTGGTCTGGATAGTGTAAGGTACCTTTTCAACCAATTCCTCTTTTGGGGACACTAAATTGCCGAGCCTAACACGTAGTGAAATCCTTCTTGCAGTTGGATCAGCGGGCACCATTCCATTCTACTTTACTGTGGGTGGGACGTGTTGCAAGCGTCATTAATACATACGTCCCGCTGTTGATCGTTCTCCAGCAAATGAAGAGCCTGACACGCACTGCTGAAAGTGGTACGCATGGCGCCGTTGACATATTTCAATTGTTGGAAAAAAGTTGGACGTGGCACATTCATCAACAACATGCGAAGTAAGATTGGGATGCATGGTATGCAGTCTGCCTATCGCAGTTCCTTTGAGTATGCCGGGGAGTCCGTCCACTCGCTCTCCTCGTTTGCGTTGTTCGAACGATTTTCTACACACATTCCCTGTGTAATGCGTAGGCACTTCCGAATGTGGCAGTGTTTTCGCAAACGCGTCACTTTGGCTTAACGTGCAGAACGCAGTTAATGTTGTTGTCAGTGGACTTAAGGCAACCGGTTGCGCGTTCGCATCGGTAAAGTAAACGCACTGCCCATTCTCTAACTGCACTGCAAGCGAACAACTCCTGGACTTCGCTCATGGATGGGGAATGGAAGAATTTGCCACATGGATTGCTTGCCGTTGACGCATCTTCCAACCCAATACAATGCGCTTTCATTGTGTCGTATATCCGCATCCCTTTCTCTCATTTCGTGTTGCAGGCCGAAAACGGCCAGGTCGCTGCCTTTATTCACGTACCTAAAAATTTACCTAATTCATTTTCCGGAATGGCAGTTTTCCACGTTTATGTGAGCTTCGTTTGCTTTTAAAAGCAAAGCGAATACGAAACAACACAACGGTTACCGACTTGTACGTCACCGATTCGCATTCGTACGGTTGCCAATTCGCCGATGTCTTCCGCTGATCATTTTCGGTATAAGGGACTTCCGTGGTTGGAGGTTGGAGAGTTGGGATTCAGCGCATCCAAGGTCCATATATCATATTCTTCGCTACAACGTCATACAAATCATTGTCGACGTTGATATCAGGTAATTCGGCGCAGACTGTGTCGTCGATTTCATTGGAAGCGATATTGTTACAGAACAAGATCAGGACATGTGCATGGGGCAGTCCCCTCTTTTGCCGTTTCACCTAATACATCCAGCAGCGCACAGACCCAACCACCTCGTGTTTCACCATGAAGTTCAACAGCGATTGCAGTTTCTTCCTAAAAACAGGTGCTGTGATGTCATACCCATCCACCGACGATTACCCAGGAGGTAAGAGCTGATAATCATCCCCCAAGCTGGATTGCATGTGGATGTAATGAGTAGGTCTTGACGCCCCATACTGACAAACATAAGCAATTGCACCTCGAGCGTACTCGGACATATGGCGTGGACTCTCTGTGCATGTGGACGACAAAAGCGTTAGTCTTACAACGTTATCTGTATTACCGTCGTTTACAACTGCATCATGCAAAGGAATGTATCCTTCAGAGCGCAGCTTGGTCTGATTTAAGCGAAGGAAAGCAGGCGTTCAGTTTTGATATTTGCATACATATCCACAATGCAGTGATGCAGCAATTTACGGCATTTCAAAAGCAGAATACTTACATTCTGTTGTATAATAAGTCGGTAGGAGTAGTGGTTCGTTGCGCTGCATTTCACGTGCGTTACCTCGTCACTGACTGGATTTATCATGTTAACGTTGAAGTGATATCCCCTGGCACCAGCCCGTAAGGTAAATGGATACTGCGTTGAAATCGGTCTCCGACTGCCGGTATATACGGTATCAGCTTGCCCTAAAATCATTAGTCTTCCAACGGTTGTTGTCGTACCGTCGTTTACAACAGCATCAGGCTGCGTGAATGCTGATCACGGAGGCGTGTTTGACGCTGGTCTGCCGTTCCGCGCTGGCACCATTGGGCCACTCCCAGCTGGCTGTGTTCAACGTGTTGCTGAACGAAGCAGGCTTGAAGCTGCAGAACGCGGTAGCCGTGACCGCAACCGGGCTTCCGCAACCCGAGCTGCATTATACTGAGCTGACACTGAGCGACGGCCCCATTGTGTGTGTTGAGCCGGGGAGGGATCTGGTGTTAATTGCATCCAGTCCTCATCCCCGAGACTCCCCGAGGCAGCGGTGACGGCTCAATTATATGGACTGTGGGACAATTTAAAGTGGCGTCCAAGTGTTGCGTGTTTTTGTTTGCTGCAGGGTGGTTGGTTTGCTCTGGCGGCCCATATTGCGTCGGCCCAGAGAGAGAGTGGAGGGCCTGCTCAAGTGCCTGCAGGGTGGGTGGTGGTGTGAGCGCGGCTGTCGGGGCAGAGCACGTGAGTTGGAGCGAATGTCGGTCAAGTGGCCACAGTCTGGGCGCACATGTGTCCGTGTGGATGCGGGTCAAGTGCACAGGGTTCACTACCCTACGAAACACGGTTATTCAATCCTATGAGTTACAGACAGTTTAATGTTGCGTGTATTTCAGTAACGTTTGTTTTTTATTTCGCTATTATCCCATGTCCATTGAATGCGAATGCTGGCAGTCACATTGTCTCCTTTCAAAACTGTTATCGCACAAATGTTCTACGGCACAATTGTGCATAGACGGACTGCTGTACAGCTCATTTAGAAAAGTCAGTGTTTTTAACAATCGGTTTATCTGACCGGTTTCGAAATAATTCTGTAACCGTTTGATGTTTACATTCCATTTTTTGATATAATTCGCTTCCTTGTACCCAACAGGGAGTTCATAGGTTCACCGCCTGAGATTCCCTCAAATAAAGCTGAACTGAAATGAACGGGAAAAAAGTACGGAAGCCTGAAGCGAATGCGGACGTTACTACTAATAGCAAGCGCTTGGCAGCATATCAACTGCTGCTTATGCATACAGCACCCATTATGCGTTCACAACTTTTCTCTGTCGCTGTCCTCCATCCAGCCTGGGTCTGAGACCCCAAAGCGAATGTCGGCTTGCGTCCCAGTGATCAAATCTTCCATCGTGCACATTAATGGCACGGTTAGGAAGGCCCATGTTTTGAAAAATAAGTAATTGCAGTCTCTAAAGTTCTTCCTAAGCCTCACCTTAGATTTCCACATATTTTTCCAAAGCATCTGCAGTTGGGACCATCGAGTCTCTTCTGAGGCGTTTTCTTCTACAGCTTGTATGGCTTCCAGTCGATGGGTCGGCTGATTGTTGAAACCGGCATGGCGCGCAAGCGAATGCGATGAAATAATATGTAAATTGCCCGGTAGTCACCTGACCTGTGGCTCCGCCTGGACCATCGCAGGGAACCACAATGCAAGTGAGCCCACAGGTAAGCGAACGATGCTCTGTTGCCTAGCTTGCTTCTTCCTGCTGCCTGCTATATGCTACTCTTGTTGTCTACCACATGTCTATTTGTCTGTGTCTGAACTAGTTGTCGTTCTGGTGGACTACTACCCGTGTTGCCTCTGCATCTCGCCGTTCCTGCCTGTTGGCTTCGTCTGCTTGTCCGTTCTTACTGTAAACCACATATCTTTCTGTTGGTTGTAATTTCTCTCCTCTCCACTTCTGCAACTACTTAAACCAAAGAATAGCGGGAAAGCAGTGCTTTTCGGCTCCCCATCCACTTTAAGGTCTCGGGCTAATTCGGATCGCTGTACCACTAACACAGTCGTGGCCCATAGTGGAGTTCGACAGCCGTCTGGGATAACGGAGCAGCCCTATTTAGGGAGTGCGATGCTCGCCACGCAAGGGGGATGGAGTTAGAAAAGGTACCCTAAAAATTGCTGGGAATCACGCTATCTGTAGGTTAACTATGGCCGCAGATATTAAACACACGACCGAAACAATCGAAATCATAACAAAAATGCTCTCTCTTTATTGTCTTCTTCTTTCTCCATCTCCTTCTCCTTTCTCTGCCCGCCGCCCCTCTCTTCAGACTGGTAGGGTGATTTCGCTCACTCTGTTGGCCTGAAATGTTCGTTTCCTTTTAGACAATCCGAGGAGGAACCGACCGGAACGGAGGACGGCGCAAGTGGCTCGGAGACGGGCGCTCTACAAGGTGGACATCGCCGCAGTCAGCGAGACCTGATTCTCCGAACAAGGCCAACTGGAGGAGGTGGGCGCCGCCTGCGCCTTCTTCTGGAGTGGTCGCTCCGGGGCAGATCAACGGGACGCGGGCGTCGAATTTACTATCCTGATGAGCCTCCGTCTGGCTTTCCGGGGAGGCAAATTCATCACCATCATCAACGGCTACGCTCCTCCGATGACCAGACCCTACGGCGCTGCAAGTGGAAAATCCTACGAGGACCTGCACGCCTACCTGGCGACTGTGTCGAAGGCAGATAAGTTTTCGTTGAATTTAACACCCGCGTCGCCACAGAACATGCAGCCTGGCGAGGAGTTCTGGGTCCCCACGGTTTCGATGTCTCCAACGAAAATGGCCTGCTCCTTCACCGTACTTGCGCAGAACACCGACTTATCTTAACCAACACCCTCTTCTACCTGCCGTCGCGAGATAAGGCCACCTGGAGGCACCCTCCGTCACGCTAGTGGCACCTTCTACACTACGTTTTCGTTCTAAAGCGAGACCAGCGGCATGTGCTGGTGACAAAGGCGATCCCGAGTGCCGACTGCCCAGTCTGCGACAACGATCGTGGCATCTCCCTGCTAAGCATTGCTGGTAAGATCTTTGCTTGCATTCTTCTCAACCGCCTGAACAGCCACCTGGAATGAAGTCTTCTGCCGGGAAACTAGTGCGGCTTCTGACATCATCGTAGACCGCGGGCATGATCTTCGCGCCCGCCAACTGCAGAGGAAATGTCAGGAGATGCGGACCCACTTGTACTTTACTTTTGTGGATCTGACGAAAGACGTGGAGACGGTGAATCGTGAGGGAATGTGGAGAATCATGCAGAAATTCGGCTGTCTTGAACGGTTAGCTCAGATGGTGTGTCTGCTTCACGATGACGTGATGATACGAGTGACGGAGACTGGAAATGTCTCAGAGGCATTTTCAGTGCCCAGCGGAGTGATGCAGGTCTGCATCCTCGCGCCTACCCTCTTTATTCACATATTCTCTGCCATGCTGATGGACGTCCACCACGACGGACGCCCTGGGATCCGCATCACCTACAGGACGGCTGCCAATTCCTCAACCATCGGCGGATGTACTTCCAGTAGCATGTATCCACAACCACCGTCCATGACTTCTCTTCGCCGACGACTGCGCCCGTAGTTTCACCTTGGAATGTGGCATGCAAAGGAGCAGGGACCTCTTCGCCGGCGTCTGCGAGAACTTCGGCCTGACTATTAACACGAAGAAATTGGTCATGCACCATCCGCCACCCAACAGTGCCCCAAATGCGCCGCGAATCAGCGTGAAGGGCACCCAACTGCAATTGGTGGACAACTTCCTTTATCTGGGCAGTACCCTCTCTTGAAGCATGAAAATCGACGGTTAAGTCGCCCGCCGGATTTCGAAGGCCAGTCAAGCCTTCGGCCGCCTTCAAAGCACGGTTTGGAATCGTCATGGTCTCCAGCTGAGGACGATGTACAAAGCTGTCATCCTCCCGACCCCTCTGTATGGGGTTGAGTCTTGGACGTTGTACACGAAACAGGCACGCCGAATTAATCACTTCCACCTCACTTGTCTTTATTGCATCCTGGGGCTGAGGCGGCAGGACCAAATCATCGACACCTATGTACTTGACCGAATGGGAATTCTCAGCATCTACACCATGTTGAAACAACTGCAGCTGTGCCGAAGCGGCCATCTCGTGCGAATGGACGAGGAGTGGCTAGCCAAGGAGGACAAATCCATCGATGCAAGTATACTCGGACGTCTTCCCTGAAGCGTCTGCGAATAAATCCGACCAACTGCGAAGACCCCGCCCGAGACCGACCGACATGGAGGAGGACAGTGAAGACAGGCACTGCGATCTACGAAACCGACCGCATCGCGGACGCCAAAGCCAAATGTGAAGCACACATGTTTCAGCTGCTTTCACCTCGCAATGTCAACGCCAAATCGCCTCTAACGTGTCCACGATGTTAGCGGACATTCCGGGCACGAATTACACTTGTGGGACACCTTCGGATCAACCGCGCCACACGGACTGCACTAATCGTCGTCCCTCCGTATAAATCCCCCTCGTCCTCTACGATGCCACCAAACTCTGACCACCCTCCCTAGCCACCACTTTTCTCCTCCTCCTCCTCCTCCTCCTCCTCCTCCTCCTCCTCCTCCTCCTCCTCCGCCCCCTCCTACCCCTATACCTCCACCTCTGCTACACCAGTGACGGCTGTTGCGGAGCCCGCCACGCGCATCAACACTACGCACAATCCTGACAAACCGACAAACACCAACTCCGCCACCACTGACGCTAGCGGTGAGGACCAGAACTACAACAGTCCTCAATGCGACCGCACCTTCACCTCACGCATCGGCCTGGCCGGTCACTTGCGAATCCATCGCGTAGGGACTGGCAAAATAATGCCTGGCGCACCAAATTGCACCCAACGCAATCGCCTCCACTGTCCACACTGCCCTCGCACATTCATACACCGCATGGTTCTATTCGGCCACATGCGCATCCACGAACACCTGCGGTAGACAACCGCCGGCTGCATCACACCATCACACCCCCCTCACCACCGTCTCATCAAACATCAACACCACTCACCCGCCAACTCACATGCAAGTGGGACGTGTGCGTCTCGACTCGGCCTCCTTGCGGTTCCTGTGTCACGGTTGACTCGAGTCTGAGAATCCCGACGCGTCAAGCAGCGTTGATAGGAAGGCTGCTGATTGACGCCGCAACCTGGTCCACGCAGTTTCGTCCAGTTGCGTGTGTGTGTTTGTGTGGAGTGGCGGAGTGGTGGGCTGGGGCCGGGCTAAAACAGCTCCTTCGACGGCACTCTCCCGCATGTAACAGATACGCCGCTCAAATCCTGTTGATTGAAATCTTGATGTCTGCGTGTGTGTGTTTGTGTGTGTGTGTGTTTCGGGGTCTGTCGTGATAATAGTCGACAACCAGAATGTTCCCTAATCAGGAGTCAAGGAAGACAGTTTGATTGAACAAGCTGCACTAGAGTGAAGGACACACAACGGCTCTGATGGCAGTCGCGACAAGCTGTCACCCACTTGTGGTGGATGATGAAGAGGAGGAAAAGGAGGAGGAGGAGGAGAAGGGGGTGGAGGTGGATGAGGAGGGGTAGCAGGAGGAGGAGGAGGACGAGGGGGTAGAAGGACTAAAGAAGCCTTAGCCACTCGAACTGTCGCAGACCTAAAATGTGCTGCTGGTGGGGTTGCCAGAGAGCTCGGTCGCATTCACTCCCCCGGCCGGGAGGTTTCCCTGCGGAGACTTGGATGAGCAGGGTGGGACACAACGCGGAGACTTAGCGCCAAAATTCACGTTGTGCCAGCAGAGGGTGGTAGCGCTAGGCCTAGAACGGGAACGATGATGGTTTCGGAAGAAGGTACGGCGAGAACGGCCAGGAGAGCAGCGCAGCTGCAAAGTGGCATGTGGTTTGGTCAGGGGAAAGAAACAAGTTATCGAGCCGAAATGAAATACCTCTACAAACTATTCTCCCAAAATGTGTACCCGCATGACTTTATACTTTAATGCATGAGGCACCAGCAACTTTAGGGAAAAAGTATTTTCAATGCTACCCCCGCTCAGACACCAAAACCAACCACCTGGCGAACTCTCGCATACGTGAAAAATGTGTCTGAACTAGTCGAAAAACAATTGAAAAGTGCCAAATACACGTAACACACCAGCGGGCAACAACCTTACACACAGCTTGTACACCCTAAGGACAGGGGTGGCTACATCGAAAGAAAAGGTTTTGTCTATAAAATCCCGTGTTCTAGTTGTGATGCCGTCTATTGTGCCCAAACTGGGAAATCTGTCTCAACCCGTATGCATTAGCATCAGTTAACGGTAAAGAGACGCGACCATCTATCCCAAGTGGCCATGCAGACACTGGAAACTGGGCATAAATTTGCATGGGAAAACACTTGCATTTTTGGCGCCTGTCCATTAAGCAAATGCCGCGAATTCCTGGATGCAATGCATTCAGATGAGGCGTGCATCAACCGGCATATCGATTTAGATGCCACATACAAAATCGTTAAGGACAGATTCAAACTGACTCAACCAATCCCGGGAAAATGACCTTGAACAATCACATAATCCTTTTGTCAGACTCATTCTAGAAGTTATTTTTTTGCATGCCCGTTGTCTGAAGACGAGCTGGGGAACCAGTCTTGAAAATTTACACAATAAAGTTTAGAGTTTCCTAAAGAATTTCACCTTCCTTAACATATACATATGGTAGTGGGCGCTCACCGATCGTTCTTATGGAGATCACTTGTTCCGTTGTGCCTTATCGGCTTTTTCTCTCGAGCCCAACCAGCAGCCGCACGGCGGCGCATGATATAGGCCGAATGGCATTACTGACAAAGACAAGGGAGACTGGAATGGCCATTTCTGGCTTATTAGCCGTTGTCAGCCAGCCGTACCCAACCCCGAAGTGTGGAACACCCGAGGCTCGAACTCGCGACCTGTTATTTAGAAGTCCACGCCTCTAACC